CCTGATTTCCTGCATTTGATGTTTAGTTTTCTGTGGTTTCGTGTTCTTTGTACTCATTGCCAACTCCTCCTGAACATCCCACTACAATATCCGGTGTAGCATCCACATTAGGTGATGCCTCAGTTCCAAGTTTTAGAGACTCCCTTCCCTTCTGAGGGGGCATTATTCTCTTGGCCTTGTGGAGGACTCTCACTGGGACATCTCCGTCAGAATTCCCCCAGTGGGTTCTCTGACCCCCTCTGCCCCAGGTTTCCTCTTGTGCTGTAGAATACATCCTCCAACTATTTTACCATATTAGATGAATCACAAATGCAGACTTTTTTCACTTGCCAATGACACTGTAAAATTATTTTGTAAAAATCTGCACACTGTCATGGGGCTTAGTGACATCTGCAATTCCTGTATTTATCTCTTTATACAAAGGCAATCTTCTTTTTTTTTTTTAAGTTTGAGGATCATTTTATTGGCCATTGAGAGAGAAACCACAGGGTGATAAGCAGCTGTGGAAGTGTTCTTCAGAGAAATAACTTTTAGAGTGCCAGAGCGTGCAAGCTCGGGGTTCTAGCCTTTTTCTAGAGAACAGGCAGAAAGGGAGAAAAGGAAAAAGTATGTTTTTTGAGTTAGAATTCAGAAAATCAGGCAGGCTCAGCAGTGAAGATCTGTGAGCCACTGCCCATACCCAGCCTTGACTCTCTCTCCTTAGAATTGCCTTCTCTATCCTCCAAAAGGTCTCCCTGACTTCTTTTTTTAGTATCCATTTCTCTCTCTTTCTTGGATTACTTTCTTGTTTTAACTGAATAATGCTAAGAAAGGTTGTCTAATTGGAAAATGTCTTCAGCTACCATGACCATTGGCAGACTGCAGCATTCAGTGGGGTCACACTGTCCTGTAAGATGAATTGCTAAATGGTCTTATTAATTAAAAAAAAAACAGAGCCAGATATTGGGGTGAAAACTGAGAGATCAGAGGAATAGGACAAGCCACAGCCAACCTCACCTCACCAACTCCTCAGCCTCCAGAGAGCTACTTCCTGTATACTCATGTCTATATACCACTGGGGATGTCTTTTCTGTATGCTCGGAATGTGTTGCTCTGATTGATAAATAAAATGCTGATTGGCCAGTAGCCAGACAGGAAGTATAGTGTAGACAGGATAAGGAGAGAAGGGAATTCTGGGAAGTGGAAGTCACCAGCCAGACACAAAGGAAGCGAGATGTAAAAGTACCAGTAAGCCACAAGCCATGTGGCAACTTATATATTGATAGAAATGGGTTAATTTAAGATATAAGAACTAGATAACAAGAAGTTTGCCATGGCCATACAGTTTATAAGTAATATAAGTCTCTGTGTGTTTACTTGGGTCCAAGCGGCTGCAAGACTGATGGATAAGAGAGATTTGTCCTGACCTCAGGCCCAAGCGTGACTGGAGAAAACTCCAGCTACAATATACCTTTCTGTGCCCAGCTATATCACTTCTTCTTTCCACCCAGCTCTATCACTTCCTGTTCATCTATACAGAGCTCCAGACCTCTATGGTTAACTAGCACTGGGATTAAAGGCATGTGCTACCAACGTGGCCCTGAACTCACAGAGATCCAGATGGATCTCTGCCTCCCAAATGCTAGGATTAAAGGAGTGTGCTACCACTGCCTGACCTCTATGTTTAATATAGTGGCTGGCTTTTTCCTCTGATCCCCAGATAAGCTTTATTGGGGTGCACAAATAAAATATCACCACACTGTCCCCAAGCTAGCAGTCCCTTGAACATGACACTATTGTTCTGACATGCTTCTCCTTTGCATTTGTTCTCGGCTGATACCCTCCCCTCCTTTCCCACTGGTTTTGTTTCCAGAGCATCCATCCCCACCGGACATTCTGTATCTTCTAGTGTGTTTACTTGGAGGATTATTTTCCTGGCTTCCTCCACTACACAGTAAGCGCATGGAGACTGATTGACCGTTGTTTCATTTGCTGATGTGTCTGAGCATCTGGACTAGCAAATGGGAGGCTATTGATAACTATTCAGTCATTGAACAAATTGATAAATAAAAAAAAGCTTTCTATTTCTATAATATGAAAAGGATTGTAATTAATGAGTGGTATTTCATATAAAATTAGGAATGTGTAGACTGTGCCAACTGAAGATCTAAAGGATATTAGAAGATCTCTCCTTAGACTGTTTCAATATGAAGTAGGCAACTGCTTGAGGTTGATGCCCCACAGAACAGATACAATCCTTCCTAGCAGCCTCTCCCTTGCACCTCTCCTTCAGCCTGCTCCCTTCTCCTTTCTCTTCATCTAGATACTCCACCCCCACCATTCTCAACTTCAGCTGCTGACTTTCCTCACTTCCGGCTTCAGCTGCTCTGTGTTCATCTGCTTTCTGTTGGATCATTTTAACTGTGGCCTTTACTTTGAACAGACCTCCCCTGCATATCATGTGATGAAAATAACTATTTCCTCTCTGCCTAGGAGCCAGGCTAGTGCCCCATCATGCACAAACACTTTACACCCTTGTAGGAACCACATCCACTCTCAAACGTAGTTATTTTGAGTCTTTTATTTTTCACATTCCATGATGAAATAAGTGGCCTTGGCTTTTAGCACTTGACTTCCTATTGTAGCATCTGAAACTTAATAATAGAATAGTCTGTGTCACTGCTTTGTCTCATTTTTACATAAGAATTGGATGAAAGCATAACTATCTAAATTAGAAGTCATGGCAAGGCTTGAATAATTTTTCTCCAGAGGAATTAACTATTGCCTTAGTAGCTTCAATCTTGAGCAAAAAAAGAAAAAGCAAAAAAAAAAAAAAAAAAGAATTTTTATTTTTTTCTTTTATTTTTGAGATTAGGGGAATTTTTAAAGCACATTTAAATAGGGTTCCTAGATTTGGCAAAGAAAAATAAAAGATTGTAGTCGAATTTGAATTTTCCATAAACACAGGAGTAAATGTTTTAGCATATGATTGTTTCAGTTGGTGCTTTGTATACTATCAAGCAGTCCTACATTTCAACAGCCACCTGTTATGTCAATGAAATTGCTCAGGGAGGTTTGCTGTGGCTGTGAAGAGCTTGTCTTAAGATGCCACAAAAGGAGAAGGGTAGAAATTCCCTGACTGATGACTTACAGCATGGCCTGTTTTAAGCTGGTTATAGTCTACAGAGCGGGGAAGGTGCAGGTGATAAAACGCTGGCCCCCAGGAGCAGACAGAAGACATCCATCACGGTGCTTCATGCCTCTGCTTTCCTACCCCTTATCATCTGTAGGAGTACTGAGTGCACATCCCAGGAGCACAGACTCAAAGGCATGCAGCAAGGAAGTCGGCACAAACCACAGACAGCACTGCAGTTACTGTCCATACTGTTGGTGGACTCGTTCCCATGCCTTACATGGATACCTTAGCACAGGCTATAACAAAATACCGTGTGCTGAGTGACTGAGCAACAGAAGGGTGCCTCTACAGTTCTAATGTCAGGGAAGTCCAATATCAAGCTACTGTGGATTTGGGCTCTGGCAATGGCACTTCTGGGTTGCACATAGATGCCTTCTATAGTCTCACTTTGCAAAAGCAGATCATCTCTCTCATATCTGTTCAGATGAGGGTCCAGTACCAATCCCATCTAATAAGGGCTCACTCTCACAACCTCCCTCCCTCCCTATGGCCTCATCTCCAAACATCATCACATTGTGGAATGGGCATTCTCAATATGAATTTGAGCAATACACAAGCATTCAGCTGATAGAAAAAGAATATTTGAATAAAATCCAAGCTTATATGCACAGAGATCGTAGACATCAGCAAATATTTCTGGCAGTTGAGCGAATTATGGTTAGACACACCTAGGCACTCTGTGATAGGGGTGAGAAAAGAGTATCCTTCTCTGAAATGCAAGCATAACTCACCAATAGCCAAGTTTTATTTTAAGAAAGTAATAAAGCTGATATGATTCTGCCTTTCAGACCTGTTTATGTTTCAGTTTTGGTGATTGCACTGTGGTAAATTAGTTGATTGCAAGTCCAAAGATTCGATCTGCGTTCAGACAGACCATTCATCACACTTAGCATGCAGGTTTCAGGAGAACTCTCCCACAGATCTGCCAAAATGCCTCTGGAAGCAATCATAGAAAATTGCCTGCTCTGTCCCCCTAGTCCCTTAAATGCAATCAGTGACTCTGGATTTAGGTTTATTGGGCTACTTTAATAATCTATCAATCTCTCCATCTGAAAGGTTCATATAAATACTTTTTCGGTTCATAAATACTTACTGTTTTTAATTTTGTACCAAAAATGGAATGGACTTCAGCAGCCCTATGTGAAAGCAATGAAAAGATTTGAAATACTATCAAATACTTTCCAAGTTGAATGTTCAATATAAAGTTCAAAGTATACATCCCCTACACCTTTACATGCTCAGTACCATTTTGCAAATTGTCAACTTATTCAATCTGAATATCCAGTTCTGAAAAAGTGTAGTTGAATTTTAGATGATGAAGCTACCAACATGTGGTCATTGAGTCCCAAAAGGTTCAGTTTTGCAAAACTCAAGTTTACAATATTGGAAAGTGAATAAAATATCTGAACCAAAACTCTGCAGCAAGTTGTCTGAGAGTTCCAGGGACAGTATGGTTTTGAGTCTATGCCAGTGCCAACTTGGGGTGAAATCCCACCCTGTTCTAGAGATGACTAGTCACTCTTCTACCTATTCTGCAGGCATGCTAAGTCTACCTGGACAGGTTTCTAGAAAGTCTAAGTAATGAGTACTCCTTTTCATCTCAATTATGTAGAATTTGGAGCCTGGATAAACAGAGTCCAGGGACCCACCTTTGCCTCCCTAGGTTTGGATACAGCACTGCTTGCCCTTTCTATACCAACCTCTCCTTTTTTAAAATGGTGGTTGAAACTGTCGATGTAAATAAAGTTGATTAACTTTGGTTTTGTTTTGTTTTTTTTATTTTCTCTTTGGTGGAAATAATTGGACTTAACGAAAATGGTGTCAGGCATGTCCTCCGAAGACAGTTCTTGGTCTCCACCTCCAACAGCCTCAACTTCCCCATCGGAAAATCTACCTTCTTTTACCACACCTAGCATCTTCTCTCCGGCTGATCAAAGCTCCCCTCACTTGATGACCACTGGCCAAACAATACTGGTCCCTGGGCTCACGCTCCCTGCTAGTGACTATTCCACCATCAGCCAATTGCCTCTAGAAACGTCACATTGGCCTGCGTCTTCCAGTGTCAGCCAGTTGATTACAAGCAGCGAAGATACAATCAGAGATCTAGAGGAAATGGATGTATCGGACACCCTGACCTTGCCAGAAGTATCAGGACTGAGTGGATATGATGCTACCCCGGATCATTTTTTGGAGATAACCACACCCATCCCATTACAGTACATCACCACCAGCTCTGAGACCATTGCTACCAAGGGCCACGAGTTAGTGGTATTCTTCAGTCTTCGAGTTGCTAACATGCCTTTCTCCTATGACCTGTTCAACAAGAGTTCTCTGGAATATCAAGCCCTGGAACAGCGATTCACAGACCTGGTGAGTGGGCGCGGCTTACCGCTCTCCACTTGCTGCATCCATCTCCTCATGCTTTTCTGCCATTGCTTTGTGATTATAGCATAATCATTGCTCATCTTGTGCGATGCAGGTTAGGAAGAAAGGAGCATTTGAAGCAGCTGTGCTGCTGCAGAAGGCATTCAGCTAGAATTCTGGGGTGATTTAAATCCAACCAGGGAAATGAGTTCTATGGTGGGCAATCAGAGAAGACACTGCCACCCAGCTTCATGGGAACAAGTTTATCCTTAAATTCTCCTCATTATGCTTCTCCCTAAATAATTTTATCCAAATTCTACACAGAAACACTATAGTACGGAGCTTGGAATCTAAGAGAAGTCTAAGTGAACTTTTCCTAAGCTGTGAAAAATCATAGAGCCATGCTGCCCGGCATGGATGAGGAAGAGAGTTCAGGTATAAAATCCCCCCTTTTTCAAACCCCCTTACGTTGTTGTAAATGGCTATATACTTGTCTCTCTGATCCTTGACACACAAAGTGAGAACATTTTCACGATGGATACACTTCAGTAACAGGCACACTCAAACTCGCATTTTAATTTTATTTCTACAAGTGTAATAAGAAATGTATGTACAATCATAAATATTGAATTCTGTGATGATTTTAGCAGTCATGTCTGATTAAATAAATTGTACAATGCATATCATACACATGATTTCTGACAATATCAGAAAAAAATATGCTTCTTATAAGTTAAATTATCATATGGCTTGAGCGTTTTTTCAAGACTCTGTGCTGTACATACATACACACACACACACACACACACACACACACACACACACACACACACACTCCATGAGGAAAGTGTTGGGACTGTCTTAGGGAACAATGTCCCAGTGAGCCTCATATCACCCCAGTGTCTTCCTTTGGGTTTGTAAAAGGTTGTCATAACAAATGTATTAAGAGCACTGAAATCAGACGCAGGCTTATTTCTCCTTGATAGATGGGCAGATGTGTTCTAGTATCACCCTGTAAACCCACATTTCTTCCATGTGTGGCCCGAAGAGTGTTTCCTCCTTTGCAAAGTTAAAGGTGAGTGGCTGCTACATCCTGTTCTCACATGGGAGAAGAGAGTATCCCAGGGAGAGCAGTTTGTCAACAAGTGGAGAAGCAGCAGCCTCCCCCCACATATTGTAGTGATGGAGCTAGTCACATGGCCAGGCCTGGCTACATGGAGGCTGGAAAAATAGCAACTCTAATGAGTCATCTTCTTTTCCATCACATTCTGGGAATTAATTTGGGAGACAAGGCAACTAATTGTCTGTACACAAAATGCAAACAGAAAACTCCTACCCCAGGCCAAGGCAGTGCCAGCTCAAGAATGAGTTCAGTAGGGTAGCAGAACAAATCAGTACAGAGCACCATGAACAATTTCCCAACTCTGATACAAAATTGCATTTTGTTTTCAAGATAAGCTGTCTTCTACTTAGCTTCTCTAATGCCATGATAAACACTGTTAGCAGAATCAGCTTGGGAAGGAAATGGTTTCCTTTACCTTACAGGTTACAGTCTATCATCTCCAAGGCAGGACCTTAAGAGAGAAGCTTGAAGCAGAAACCACAGAGAAATGTTGCTTATAAGATTGCTCCTCATGGCTTATTCAGCCTGCCTTCTTGTATAACCCAGTTCCACCTGCCCAGGGGTGGCAGAGCCCATAGTGGGCTAGGCCCTCCCACATCAATCATTAGTCAAGAAAACATGACACAGACAGGCCTGTGGGCCAATCCGATAACGGCTATTCCTAATTATGGTTTCTTTGTCCCAGGACACTCTAGTTTGTACCCAGTTCACTTAACTAACCAGAACACCTTGTGAAACAAGGTCAGAGCCAAAGTTCTGCTGAGACAGAGTCAGGATGAGAAAGAGAGAGTGGGTCTGAGGCACGCCTGGAAGCTTGCAGCTTGAACCTGTGTGCTGTCGGTATTTATAGGGCTATAGTTCGTGAACCCTTCTAGAGTCAGGAAATGAGCTTCAAACATTTCTGGGCAATGACCTTCAAGATGGCCTTGGCTCACAAGAGACAGGTGTGAACACAAGGGAAGCACAACGTCCTGAAGCTGCTTTCAAGATTACTAAATCATGTTGGGAAAGGAATCCCTGGGAAGGCACCTTTGCTCTCGCGTTCAGATAAGCACGGAGGTCCACACAGGTATTGTATTGCGTTGCTCAGTGAAGGCCACCCAACTAGTTGGAACCAGCTTCAATACCCCCATCCAATTGTCTTGACTGTCACTTCCCTTCTGCATGCCAGAAAGTTTCACTACACTAATAGACAGACACATTGGGTTTGGGTATTTTTATTTCAATGGGTAATTTCAGATTTCACATTTCACATTTCCATTTACACAGACATACGTTTATTAGCTCCTGGGCTCAATTTGGAATAGTCACTTAAAAAAAAAAACTGTTCTCACAAGGCATGAAGAAATCCCTGCCCATCTATCTCAGTGCAGGCAGAAGGGTAGAAATATGGACGTAATTACTACAAAAAGATCATTAGGTCATAGTCTTCTGGTCTCACGTCCAACAACAAAACCAGCAGTGAGGAAATGAAAGGCGTGCCTCAGGTAATGAAGAGAGAGCATAAGTACAACCGGCAGTGACCACGTCAGGAATAAATGATTTCTTCTTTTGCAGTTGGTTCCATATCTACGATCCAATCTTACGGGATTTAAGCAACTGGAAATCCTCAGCTTCCGAAACGGGAGTGTGATCGTGAACAGCCGAGTGCGGTTTGCGAAGGTGGTGCCCTACAACCTCACCCAGGCGGTGCGCGGGGTCCTGGAGGACCTCCGATCCACAGCAGCTCAACAGCTCAATCTGGACATCGACAGCTACTCTCTCAACATTGAACTAGGTAGGTGAAGCCAACGACGAAAGCCTGGGGAACTTCTGGTTCATTCTGGTTTTTTTTTTTTTTTCAAGCATGTTGAGCAATTGTCAAGCCACAATAATGAAATTAAATTACACTTAACAAGGCAACCTTTTAGAAGCTATGAACTTCATGACTAAGGAAGGAGGGCCTTCACCCTGCAGTCTCAAGTGTTCCTACATAGAAAAGCAAAGAGTAAGGGCACCCCTAACCGCACAGTCTGAAAGCCTCAGTTTACTCTCAGTACTGAACTTTCGATGTGCAGAGACATTTTAAAATGTAGCCCCAAACCAAGCTGGTTTACATTTTGTGAGAGGTCAAAGTACTTTCTGAAAAAAAAAAACCACAGCAACCTGGGCCTCCTCCTTCAGAAGGCAGAGGCCTCAGTGAACTGTCACAATAGTCTTTTTCATAAGAAAATTCGGGATGAAACTCAGACCAAATCCTGGGGAGAGGGGGGACTGTAGATCAAAATTCAAACTTAGAGAAATCACCAAAGAAGAAAATAATGTCCCTCCCCACTTGCACACCCTGGTGCAGCACCCATGTGTGTAAAACAATAGCCAGAAACTCTAGAACAGAGAGCAAATGCTTGCTCTAGCAGCAGAGTGTCTGCCACAGTCAGGGGCCAGGCCTGAAGTGGGGACTGTTTTCATCGTGTACTTCAAAACTGTTCTCTAACTGAAGGAAGGTTTTTAATCCCCTGGAGTGCAGGACAGGAGGACTCTGTCCCACTGCCAAAGCAACCTTCCAGTCAGATGGAAAACAAAGTGTCCTAATTGGCTATGAATTAGTGAGGTGGATCTTTAAGGCTCTCTCTGGCTCTCTGTGGACTAACTATGAAGACAGAGGGAAACGGCCTTGGGCAAAAAGGCAAGCCAAAAAAGCTCAGTAGGAAACATTTATCTTTGACAGAGCAGGCTTTGGAGCAATCCTACAAAAATTGCCTCAGTACCTTGGTAAACAGCATCATTAAAAAGACAGCACAGCCTTGGGCACTGAGCAGGGGAGTCGTTACCTCCAAACAGGAGCTGCCTAAGGAAGCCTACTAGAGCCCCTGAGCAATCAAAGACCACCTAAATGTCAGGGAAAGACCGACTGCCTCCATCCACAGAAGGTACCCAGAGCTCAGGCTGTTCTCTGCAGCCGGGTGGTAAAAGTAACAGAAAGGATACAGGCGAACTACAGAGCATAGGCAAGGTGAGAGCCTGGCCCCTGCCCTCCTCCATCCCTCAGTCAGTTGTCAGTCCTTAGGAGCCCACTCAAGACAAAAACTGTCCATGGAAGGGCCAGGCCAAGGTTGGGGAGAGTCTGGATATATGCCTCTGAGGACAGGAGTTTCAGCAGTAGGAACCACTTGACAGATGTCTTAGAAAGGTGCTGGGGGCTTGTAGTGCCATGCCATGCCTGAGCTGGGGGCCACTGCTGATGCTTGAAAGAAGTGCAACATAGCCATGGTCTTGGGGGCCCACTCTTGAATGTGAACCCTGTGTGTTAATAGCAGCACCCCATTTCCACCGTGAAAGGTTGCTAAAATTCCTTCCCTGTGGGAGACAATGTCTACCCCTTCTCCTAAGGTTCCCAAGGACAAACTGAGGTACACATCCATCAACAGTAACTCTGAAGAACCATTGGGTTTATTAGGCTTTCTTTCAGAGCAATGGGTGAAGGATATGGCTGGGAGCATGAGTGTCATTAAGGCAGCCACCCTGTAAGGTCTGTGCCCAGTGTGAATGATGACTCCCTTACGGCCATGAAAATGGAGCCTTCTCCCAAGTCCTCCCCAACCTACCCACTCTAGCCTCTCCCTGAGGTTACGTGCAATTAGGGAAGAATCACATGCAACTGGTTGGTCGGAATGGCTGAATAATGAGGTGACAGTCCTCCCATAACCCTTCCCATCCCTCCTTCTATGAGGGACCACCAACAGTCAACAAGCCCAGCTGTGGTCTCTTTTTCAAACAGGCACAGCCGAACTCATAAAGATGATGGCAGTTTGCTTTGGAGGACAGTCCTGTAGCACAACAGGGGACATTCTAAGAGCAGAAGGATTAATAAAAAGGGTATTTTTAGTCCTCAACATAGTGTTTGACACATTATAGTTGCCTAATAAATGTTAATCATTAGTATTACAACATTGTCATAATTAACTTGACTATTAATTTATGACCTGCACAGGGTACCATAAAAAGTGATTAAAAACTGGCCTGGCAAGGTGTTAGTGAAGCAATTGGAGCTGAGGCGATTTTCGTTGATACCCTGTGAACCGTTGTATGGTGTTGCCTTCCCTCTGGGCAACTGGTATAAGTGAGATTCTATAACATCAGCTGTGGTTCCTGCTGGAGCCAAATTTATGCTGAGCTGCCTAATACAAAAATGCCTGCAAGCTTCCCAGTGTGCTGTGGGGTGCATACCCAACTTGAGAGATACAAGAGAGGAAGGACAGAAAGGACGAACTCGATGGTCTATCTGCTTTCCACAGCCCTAAGTAGGAGCAGCTCAGGAACTTCCAGAGAGACAGACATACTGTGTCCAGTAATGAACACAGATGAAAACTGCTGAATGAGTGAATGAATGAAGGAAGGAATGACCACTCAGTATCCATGGGGAGATATTTTGCAGAAGTTACTGGACAGTTACACTGCGATTTAGGGTGAAATATTTCTCCATATTCTACTCTTTACTACATACCTGGAGATTGGGAACCTGCTTCTAATGCACAGAAAAATAATGAAGTCATGAATGAAGGACACAAATTAATTAATGTTTGAAATCTGCCAGGAAATGGCTGTGGGGAGCCTGAGAAAGCATTAGCAATGCTCCAGACAAAAGAACTGAAAACAACCCTGCATAGGCCCCAGGTTTCAAACAGCCAACTCATGCACTGAGTACAGGACCTGGTCCCACTGCCTGGATGCCTCCCAAACAGATCAAGTCAATCAACTGTCTCACCCATTCAGAGGGCCTGATCCAGTTGGGGGCCCCTCAGCCATTGGTTCATAGTTCATGTGTTTCCATTCGTTTGGCTATTTGTCCCTGTGCTTTATCCAACCTTGGTCTCAACAATTCTCGCTCACACAATCCCTCCTCTTTCTTGCTAATTGGACTCCTGGAGCTCCACCTGGGGCCTAGCCGTGGCTCTCTGCATCCGGTTCCCTCAGTCATTGGATGGGGTTTCTAGCACGACAATTAGGGTGTTTGGCCATCCCATTACCAGAGTAGGTCAGTTCGCTTGGCTCGGCCTGGGAGGAGGGGACTGGACCTGCCTGGACTGAGTCTACCAGGTTGATCTCAGTCCTCGGGGGAGGCTTTGCCCTGGAGGAAGTGGGAATTGGGGTAGGCTGGGGGGAAGGGGAGGGAGCAGGAGGGGGGAGAACAAGGGAATCCATGGCTGATATGTAGAACTGAATTGTATTGTAAAATAAAATAAAATAAAAAAAGAGTAGAGAAAAACAAAAAAAAGAGCTGAAAACAGGAAGGAACATTAAAGACGGCTTCATAAGAGTTTTAAAAATGAGTATGTTTCCTTCTACACAGACCAAAATGTATATATATTCCTCAACCACAAGAGATTCTAGTTTCATTGTGTTGTGTACAGGCAGAAGCCACGGCACCAAACTACACTTTTTTTGTTTTCCTTCTCATCAAGAATAATGCAGATGGAAAAAGACAGGAGCAGTCACGGGGGACCAGGCCTGCCTGAGCCAGTGGGCTTCCATGCTCACAGCTGTGGATCCTGAGCAATCTCACCACAGGTGAAGGGCAGATTCACGCAGGGAACCAGCAAGCGTGCATTTGAGTGGCACACCAGACCTTGAACACCATCTCTGAACTAGTGAGCATCCATCCACCTCCACATGACCTGTCCATGTGTGACAGTCCCTGCTCAAAGAAACTGTGGCGAAAGGACATCTTTACACTACGCTGACATCAAAAATATGCCTTTTTAGTTCAAACATACCTTGTAATGGCTATTTTCTTATGTAGCGGACTTTCAGCAAGTTCCTGTGGGCTTGGCTTGGTGCCAGATGAAGAGAGTACTATGATTCCTTTTAAATCTCAGCTTGCTGAGACCCGGCCACCTGAGCAGGAGGGAGTGTAGGACCGGACTACTACAAAGACCTCTGACCCTTCTATGTTGATAAACTGGCCAGTGAGTGTACTGATAGCCATGCCTGAGCACCTGGCAGCAGCTGCAAAGGACCAGGGCTGGGGAGGCCCACTCTGCAGATGACACAGGAGTACAGGCTGTCACTGGAGGTGGTGGCTGTTGTTGGTTGTTTTTCACTCTTTACTCTTTGTGGGCCTGCCACCCAGCTCCCCAATAAATCACACTGAGGCTTAGTCTTACTTATAAATGCCTGGCCTTGGCTTGCCTTGTTGCTAGCCAGCTTTTCTTAAATTATCCCATCTACCTTTTGCCTCTGGGTGTTTTCCTCTTCTTACTTCTGTATATCTTACTTTCATTCTTATTCTGTGGCTGGTTGTGTGGCTGGGTGGCTGGCCCCTAGCCGCCTCCTCCTCTTCTTGTTCTCTTGGTCCTTCATCTTTTCTAACGCTCTTCCCCTTCTATTTATTCTCTCTGCCTGCCAGCCCCACCTATCCCTCTCCTGCCTTACTATTGGCCATTCAGCTGTTTATTAGACCAATCAGGTGTTTTAGACAAAGTAGCACAGCTTCGCAGAATTAAACAAACGCAACATAAAAGAATGCAACACATCTTTGCATCATTAAACAAATGCTCCACAGCATAAACAAATGTAACACATCTTAAAATAATACTACATATTACTAGTGCAATTCTAGTATATTACATAATACTAGAATACTTACAACAGGTGGCTATTGAGGAAGAGCCAAAAGCAAGTGACAACCAGGTACACACTTGGACAGACACACGAAGGCCGGCCACCCTGATTCACATGTGACCCTCCCCTTCTGCCCCTCTTTGCAGCCTTGTTTCAATATAGAACATAGAGGCAGCT